AAAGGATGGTAACTTTCGAGCTTTTTTGTTGATATATTTTTTCTGTGAACAATCTTTGAAATTTAACTTTCTTATGAGAGTAATTTGGTTTTTCTTGCAAATTTGAACACTACTATAAAATATATAAATAGATTTACTTCAGACACTCTGATATCTTAGACAAGTCATAAAATACATCACATATGATGCAATTTTTGTTTTGAAACATATTTATTAATGATGTAACGATCAATTTGGTTTTTTTGCGACGTTTATATTAATATATCAAACATTACACAAAGTATAGATCAGTATTTTAAAGTAAGAATATGACGTAATGTTTATTAAACGAAAGGTCTAGTTCATTTTAACAATATTGAATAAACTCTCATTGACTATGTAAACCTGTGTGCCTTCTTCTGTATCATTCTACAGGCGAAACAGTCGATGTCATCATTTACATGATTGAAAGATGTTCTTCGTTTCTTGGTCGATTCACTTGAAATGGGTTTAAGAATCTATTTTTATTATTTCTTCCTGAAATCATTCATTGACCCATCATATTTAGCTATATTTTTATGCAAGTCTGTTTTGTCCTTATAAACCTTTTCATCATAAAATCTATCAATGATTCACAGATGAAAAGTATCAAGCATACCGACATAGTATGTTTATTAAACGGGAAGTAGAATCGTAGGAATATTTTGCATAATAGCAACAACAAAGAAAAGAAACATAGCCTATTTAATTCATTAAAATATCGTGAAACATTTATAGAATGTTTAACGTAACAAAATTTGTTTTAAACAGATAAAGTGATAATAATTAGATTAACTATGTGAAGTTTTAATATGCAAAATATTAGAGTAAACATGATAATTATTTGGAAAATATTGTTTATGCTTACTCAACGTAATTTCTTCAGAGCTTGTAAGAAGGAATAAATTTATTATTGAAATTATTAATAATCTTAAACTAGTCAATGTTCATCTTGTAAATCTAAGTTATGAGTCGATCTTTTATCAATAGTTGAAAAAAAAAGTCTATTTGATTAAGTTTTGACAATGATGATTTGTTTTTTCTGCTTAAGTGAATTTTGTGTTATTCTATAGACTGAAAATAATAAAAAATCGATTTCAAAGTAGTTAACTAGTCGTTCTACTTCTTCAATAGAATAATCAATTCTGACATTAATGAAATGTTTTTAAGATGTAAGATATTTCAAGTTAATTCGATAATCATTATTATGTTAATTCTCAATATTTATGTCGATAAAACATTTGTTTGAGTTGTGATAGTCAATGACAGATATTCATTTTAGTTCATACACATATATATAAATATTTTTGATTAATTCTGAAAGATATACAAGTATAATTTTTTAATGACTTTTACGCACTTCTTTTTAAATCTGGATATATGATGGCATTTAACATATAAAACAAAAGAAGAAAAAAAATCTAGGAATAGTTAACTGTCTGTCTTCCAATTTTTGGCAGCAAGTTGTCCAGCATGATAACCAGCCATATACCAAGCCATTAACATTGAATGAAAAGCATCTTGTTCATTTTTTGGTGGAGTTATTATGTTTATTGGCATTGGTGTAGGAATTCTCATTGTAGATGATTGTTTTACATCGATTTTTTTAGTTTTATGTTTATTATTTGTTTGAGAATTTTTTTCATTTTTATTTATTGATGAATCTTTTTTTGTTTTTGAATTAGTACGAAGACGATTTTGAATTTGTCGACGAGCTCGATCATAAGCACGAATTAATTCAGTATCATCCCATATTTCTTCATGATTATCTGATGAACGATCAAATATTACTTCACCTATATTTGACATAATGAAAAAAAGTCTTTACTATTACTTTCATCATTACATGAAAAGCTTTTACAACCAATCACGATAAAATAGTAAATAATAAATGGTGACATCTATTTGTATTTATCGTGGGGTTGACGTCGATTCATCTTGCTTCTTAATACATTCGTACTTATATTACAAGACTACATTTTCTAATTGCTAGTTTGCTGTTGGTACATGAGACCATTGTCGAATTTCTTGAATTAGTTTCAAAGGCAAAAAAAAAGGCACAGTCTGAGTTCATTCAAACTTTACGACAACTACGGGATGACAAAATGAGGGTAACCATGATAGATGAAGTCATTTATAGATTGATTGTATACAAAACTTAGCTAATAGATAAATTTTTTTTTTCTAAGCACATCTTGTCAAGTTATGTTTAGAAATACTACAATCAACTATTCTGTTAGATTTCATGTGAAGAACTTCTTAACTCATTGTTTGTTATTTTCTGCTCAAAAGAAACATTTAGAACAGTTTTGAATAGATATTACTGGCTTGCTTTTTTGGGCTGTTTTTTTTCAATTAGTTTTTATAGTAGTAAGGTGAGTACTAATTTTAAAAAATGATTTTTAACACAATACGAACCAAAAACTATCGGCTAGATCGATAATTCAGTAGTTAGTTTTCTAAGATAACATTTAATATCCTCGCAGTAGATTAAGACTAACTGCATCAATATAAAAAGCTTTGTTAAGTTTCATCTTAGAGAACTAAAACATCTATTTTCAGAGAAAATTTATTAGACTAGATAAGTCAGTTCAAACAAAAACACAATTCTTATTCATATACGAATTTGATGATAGTTCATTTTAAGGTTTGTTACCTATTACTAAATTCTATAAGTTTCTATACAAGAGTAATCTTTACAAACATGTACAAATTTGCAACAATAAACAACATACATGTACACTCATTCCATTGAACATATTATGTCTGTCAGTACTACGTAAACATTAACTAACAGAAAAGCACTACTCCAAATGATGATGCAAGATCCCATTTTTGCTTCATATATCAACATCATCATATAACTACAATAATTAGACAGATGAAAAACTAATATTTGATATATTAATTTCTTATTAATTTGTTGAATTCACTCTTCCAAATGAAAAAGACACTCATTCTCTGATATTAAACTTACGAAAAGTACGGTTTCTATACTATTACTAGAATCCATTGGGTTGTTCCTAATGTTTTATTTAGGTTTTCTCTGTCGGATAGCGAATATTTACTTTTGGTAGGGCAAACATCTAATACATAGTGCAATATTTTCGAATTCTGGAAGGGCGAACTCAATGTTGCATAAAACAGTAGTTAGTCTCGAGTTCGGTAAGACTTAGACTAAAATAGCTGTTAGCGCAATCTCTGGACGATTAAAATGTGAAAGGCGATGTAATTGTTGTTGCTAGCCATAGGAAAATGACTTTATCCTATCTATTCCGAGACATAATTCTTCGTTCTCTTTTTACTTAATCCTCCAAAAATACAATAACAAAGTAGTTCATATATTATAGGGATATGTTATTAATATACGATCACAGATCGTATATCAACAACATCTGATATAGTCTCTAGAGAGAAAGACTCCAAATTTTAACTCGTATATCTCAGCACTCCTTTTTGATCATGTTTCATAAAATTTCGTTGCAATTAGAAATATTATTCGAGTCTGAAACAAGTTAAATACTTTCAAAATATTGATCGATAGTATTTGATATAATACTTTACAAAAAAAGTGATTAAATATTATTTATTAAAAAATCAAAAAAGAAAAAAAAATGCGAAATTAATAGACTGAATCAAGAGTTGATTTTTAAGGAAAAGGTAGTCTCAAACATGCCATGATCTATATGTTTTTGTCACAACAAAAATTTCTACAAAGTGTACTAACTTCACAATGATAATTAAGACATGCCAAGACAATATCAAAACATTTTTTTTTTGTCATTGTACATGGTGATGTATCTATCAATACATGGAAATATGATATATTCAATGTAATAATATGTGCTGGTGCTTAATAAACATCTCTTGTTAAAAGTATAAAACAAACTAAGAAAATCAAAATAACATTCGTTGTATTCATTTTCAACATAATTACTTTTTGTATATAATTGATAGTATTTATTTGATAGTTAGACTAGATGTAAATATGTGGGTATTTATACTCAATTAATGAGTAATAAAGTTGAAGTCTTAATTTTATGCTACTGGTCTAGAATATTGTTGTGTGAGACTTAATGGAAAGAAAATGATGAAACTCAGTGATGTCATCATTTTGCATGAGCATATAATTTATGTATTTACGCGCAGATGATCTCAAAAATAACTTGCATGTACTTTTCATAGTTATGCAAGTTTTTATTTTCGATTGATGTGTATCACTTATCTGTGAGTCGTTTAAAACTTAAATTCTTGAATATTTAATAATGAAAAGTTAAGAAGAAAAGATTATTTTCAAATCTGAAATATAAAATAGGTTCATAACAATCAGTTTTGGATAACTTAAAAATATATATTCGATCAATCAACTTGTATCTCGAATTATTTCTAGTGCTTGTTCAATAATTTTTCGAAGAAGAATAAAATGAAATTTATCAATTTTATCGAAAAATGGTTTTGATTTTAAAATATCTTGATCTTATTTTAATCGCAAACATAGAATAATGCCATTTAAACTACATTTATCACAATAATCAAAAACTCTGATTAGTTCTATTCATTTCAACTGAACATGACCGAATAGAAATAGTAAGTTGTGAGACATACACAAGTCAATGGTAAGAGTACGAAAACAACACAAATACTTACTAAAAAAATTAAGTTAATCATTATTTTTTTTCGTATACTTTAACGTATTCGAGTGATGAAATTGATCAATTTCCAGATAAATGCATTTTTGTTAAGTTTAGCTTAGAAAATCAAGATGATTATCTGCAGTGAATATATTAAGTTTGATATTGTATATTCACCAAGGGGGTTCGGCGGATTTCCAAGATTCCGAATCACTTGGAATACAATGAGAATTCTGGGAATCTCAGGAATCCTGGCAATCTTGGGAATACAGAATTTGTCGGTTTTCCCTTGTGTTGAAGGAAACAGAAACACCGACACATCACATCCACACTCACAGATGAATGATGATACGATTGCAATTATCTACATTAAAGTGACTATGAGAAGATGAAAGAATTGCTAAGCAATTTTCTTTTTGAGACAACCAAAACTTCAAAATAAATGGTACCAAACCAAGAAACTGGTAATATCTATAAAGAAAAATAAAGACGTCTCAAGTTTCATCAACATCACTGGGTACACGAAGATGAATAAGAAAAAGAAAACTTGAACAAGAATCGAAATATTGAGCAAACTTATTTGAGAGTACATAGAGTAAGCCAAAAGTTTTTCGTACGGTTTTCTTAAAAGTCATAACTTGAATGTAACTATTCTAATATAATGCTTGAATATATTTAGAAGTATGTGCAAAATTTCGTTATAGTTACTAATTTCTTTCAGACTAATGATACAATATTTTCTATATAAATTTTGAATTCTCACAAAAATGCTTTCAAAATTTGATTTTACGCAACTAGAAAATTGGTTTAACCTATAAGTAAAATTCATGCCTCACTATTTTAAGTAAGAGAAGTTCTTAATATCTTTAGGTAGTATACTCATTAATTTTTTTCATTAATTTCAACAGAGTAATATCACCATCAAAGATGCAGCTCACTCAAATCGCTCTCCTACTGTTATAACTGAAGAAATGCACAGTATTGTTTCATCAATAATTCAAGGCAATTCTCATTCAATAGACTAATAAATATAAGACATCACAGTTAAGGAAAATTTCGTCAGTCATTATTTCAATTCTTCTCGTCTGTATAAATTTCCATCACGTTGTTTGTGTTCGATGAGTATATTATCAATATTGTCGAATGAAAACAGTTCTGAATTCAATTGTGTCATCATTTCTGAAAGATATTGGAAGTCGACTTATTCTATCTTATATTTTGCATTAATACTAGTGATAGTGTATAGCTTTATCATTGTGACCAAAATAAAAATTGAATTTTTTTCAAGGAATCTTATTAAACTAAGCTAATGCTATTAGGATCTAGTAAGCAGAATTGAACATGTTAATAACTATCCAACATAGGTCTTCAAAAGTATACAACAATGAAATAAAAGATTCGCTTTGGAGATGTCAACTTTCACTATGAAAATACTAGATCATTGAAAGTTTTGATTACCAATGAATTTTTGATAGAACAATCATATTGAATTATGTCAAAATTCAGCATATTTTCTTGATCGAGACCTCGATGACTTCTTTTTTTCTTTCAAAACTAAATTTTCAACTGCATGGAATTAGATTCAACAAGCATAACATAATTTTATATGTGTTAGAGCAAACCATTAGTGTTCTCACACAAGAAGGCTTAAAATTTCACTTCCATAGTTCTTTTTAATAAATGCTGAAGTGCATTATTTCTGAAGGACAGTGGGTTGTCAAAGCTACAACCGAAACCAGTATTCGATTGTTTGTCTCAGCGATGAGGAAAAAAAACTTTTGCAGTGTATCTTGACTATGGATGTGGTTCGAAGAAATGTCCATCTCAACACTCACATTCACATTCAATAGAAGTTCTTTATTAAAATCAGTTAAATCATTATTGTTCTCATAAATATCTTCATAGCGATCTTTTTTTTTTATGAAAATCGCAAAAATGTTGATGTCGATAATTGAAA